CGTTTGATTGCCGCTGCGCACGGTTCCTACAATCTAAAACAGCAAGAACCTACCAAAAACCCTTCCTGTTTGTGAAACGTGTTTCCTCAGTTCTCGGAGTTGCCGAAAGCAGTCTGGGTGACCGACTCCGAACTATGATCATGGAGCTGTTGGGCGATCAGGACGGTGTTGTGTTGCGGAGGCGAGCCATTTTTGGAACACAGTACCCTTGTGCAGGGATACGTAGGTGTCCGCTTGTCATCTTTTCAACTGTTGCAGCTCCGTTGTTTATCGACACTTACACAGGGAAAAAGATCGTTTGTATCATTCAACGCGGTTTCTTCCAAACACCACGTTCTCTGAACTCAGCGATATGAGCAAGGCGAAAACGCAACTAATTCTTTGATGGCGCAATCTACGTGTCGCTGGACTGGCAAAAGCTCTTGCAGTACAATCCCCAGGACTCCCCCCACCCGTAGGCCGACCAGACCGCATCTCGAACGACTACCCGCAGTTACACGCTATTACAATATTTGTCGCTGGTAAAATCCTATTTCCAAAACCAACATTGCGCCCTACGGTGCTGCCTCAACGGTCCTAGTGCACCATCCGGCAGGTAACGCGATTGTGGTGCACTGCTCGAAAGACGTTGGGTCGAATATCCAAGAATCGTTATTTGGTTGCTGGTGTGCGCGTACGATGTTGCTTGTTGTGATCCAATCAATACTGACCTCGAACGTTGCGGTATGCCCGGCGGTTTTCTGGGAGCGGTCTGGTCTGGAGAACGCCTGGAGGACGGCGACGCCGGTGGTAGGCCGGTGAAGTCTATAAACACCATGAATACAATCGCGCTGCTAGTGACGCCACCCAGAACCTGCCAAGTTAAGCCCGATCACATCCGATCCCGAATCGTCTGCGAACATTTTGGACGGTGACGAAAATTTGGCACGCTTGACGTGTCGGCGTATAGTCCCCTAATTTTATTGACCAGTCTAGACAATGTTGGTCGCCCAAGAGGTTTGGGCTGTGACGTGGCCGACGATCGCCGCAAGACACGACGCAACTCCCTTGCACGTCCATGTGATGACAGGCGTGCTTCGCCCGACTTGGATGAGGTGCCTAACAGCAATAACAACGATCACAGCCCATCCCACGATGCAGAGCGCCAGCCCCTGTTGCCAGAGGTTCTTCGTAGCCTTGACGTGAAACCTCTCGAGCTAGGGGAGCGCTGGTGCAGATGGAGGACGGGGCAGAAAACGAAAACAAGACACGACGAGGGTGATTGCATTTTCCACAACATCAAGGAGCAACGTTGACCAGCGAACACGGCACAAATAACCCAAAAAAAAATCCTCATTGACCAGCAAGCAGCCGCGGGGGCTTGATGCTGATGTGAAAGTTACCATGGGCGCGAGCTCGTGAGCTCACTGGGACCCCATCATATTCTTGATTCATATCACTTGCTGACTAATCTCGGGGAGAACGGGCTTGAACATCAACGAAACAACCCGGTTTCGTTGTGAAAAGATAAGGAAAGTACCGTAGGACACCGCTCAAGCGTCTATGACGCCTCACGCGGCCTCACAGGTTGGATTACGGCGTGGGGCTTTCGGGGGTATCGAAGAATTTTATAGAGATACTTCGGTGATGTAGCGAAATATTTCTCGCTACGCCTACCAACAACGTCGAATACGTTTCAAGCTCGTGTTTGTTTCCTACGTCCGGATGACTGGGCCTTAGATCCTAGGTCGATCGTTTCATATTGCACGTGATGGCCCTTGTATGCTTATGCACTGCTTTTGCTCACCATGGTCCCTTGAACGTTACCCCAAGTGAGTCAAGAATGGGTCGGAAACACCTTCACGCATGGCAATTACAACTCGATCCAACACGAAATCAAGTTATAGAAAAATGCACCAACCAAGAACGAACGTGCGAAATGGATAATTACACAGTGAAGGCACGATTCGAGGTACAGTCGACCACGCTTTAAGGAAACCAAAATTAAGGAAACTCCCCGGGTACAGGAATCAATTTTTCGCCGAAAAACAATACCCCGCAGAACGTAAAATATACGGGGGGTTCCATATTCTAGTCCGCAGACCCCCCTTAGAGCACGTTTTCAGCGTACCCTCTTCGCCAGCAGAGAGGTCTGCTGCTTCACCTGCTGTCTGCGGTATGCAAAGATTCGTTTCACCTACCGGTGCGTCCTCTGCACCTGGGTTATAACGGTGTGGGGAACTCACTTGCACGATCACGAAGCTCGTGTCGGGTATCCACACATGCCCGTGCTGTCGATGGATGCACGCGTTTTGTGGTCGCGGCATCGGGAAGGAAGGCTACGGACAGCAGAGGGAGTCCACGGAATGTCAGAAGTCGTAGCGTTGAGTGTTTGCGGTTTGTCGGCCATACGCCGTATTGTGTGCTTGCTTGTGTCTGAATGGCGCTCCAGTAGTAGAGAGTAACGCAGGAGAATTTCTGCGTGCGCTCCCCCAGGGGTAAACAAGATTCACCAGGTGAATTTGAAGTGTCCATCAGGTATTTTCCGGGCTGTGTGGTGGTGTTCAGCAATAAACAATTTTTTTCTCGCCGACTCCCAGCCTCTTGTTGTATTCCAACAATGCCCTGCCCAGGGCGCACCTTTTGACGTATGTACCGCCACCATTGACCCCGGGGATGGTGTGTTCTGATCCCCTGAAGCGTAAGGAAACTTCCCCGCGTTAAGGAAACATTTTTCGAAGCAAAACCATATGTTTCCGTAAAGCGGGGACGACTGTACTAAAATCCACGTGTTGGATACCTTCAACCTGCTGTTCCTACACATATCCGGCACATGTGGAGGATGACTCAACCTTTTCGCGATTCTCCTCGAAAAAGTTCCCTACCTTCGACATGGCGTGACTGATGACTTCCGTGATCTTGATAGCGACGAAGATGACGACCGTAGTCTAAAAATGCCAAGTCTAAACATGGAGAAGACGGGGCGTGAAAGCAGCAGCAAAGGTTTTGGGTGGTCAGCGCTTTCAGAGCCAGGGTTGACAGAGTACAATCATTTCGAACCCCGAGAGTTTCGTCATGCCCTTCCGCCCCGACAGACAGACTGTTCTGCTTGAGATTCTTGGTACGGTACCCGATCTGCGAATCGGACAAAATCCGAGGGCTTAAGCCCTTAATCTGTGTGCAACCGGTTTGATCAGTGCAAGTATCGACGACTACCGGATCCCAGAACATAGAAGCGTGCTACTCGCAAGTCAAACGCTCCTCAAGAAGAGAGCGGTTTACATCGATGCCAACGAAGTTAAACCTATACAGGCGTTACCAAAAAGAACGACTACAAACAAAAATGGCGACTTCGACAGGCATTGTAAGCTGCAGTGGAGCCTCACCGTTACAATCGCCCCGACTCCCACGGCGAGATCTGCCAGCAGTCGCGGTCAGGACGCCGTAAACAGGGTCAAGATTTCAAGGGCGGATATGGCCCCCGCGTTGAGAAGATTGCGTCCAACGATCACCAAGAGATTGTGCCTTCGGGATGCAGCTCTCAAGCGCGCCGTGAAGCTGTCGGGAGAGACGAGTTGTTGCGGAATGCTCTCCAACTAAAACTCGGCCATCATGGCAACGCCGAACAGCATCGACGGGAGGGTCACGATGTGCAGGGCTTGAGCAAACCCGTTGTCCTAAAAAGAGTATCCTACTCTGCCGGCCCGCACCGCCAAAGTGATGCCAATAATAACATAGCCGACGACGAACACGCTGTTGCGCGAAGGGGGTGGAGAAGAAGGGAGGCAGGTACTACAGTAGTCGAGGGTGACACGAGGTCAGGCACCCGGGGACGACCGTGATGAGGAATTTTCAGATCGATTGAGTGGTTTCGACCCTGGTCATCGCATACATATCAACATTCCACGAGTCATGTCAGGGGGTTCCTTGCTGCCACGGTCTGTACAATGTCACCCCCCCTTTTCATACTGCGGTGCTTGCTCAAGCTATCAAGGGTGTCAGGAAAAATCGTGCGTCGAGACCACCAGTAGTCGGACACGGTTTGACCTTTGAATACGATTGCAGCAACTTGTCTGGATAGCAGTAGAAAAGAATCTATCTCTCCGTGGCATGTATTCTCTTGTTCTAGAAATATTCCGGAAGCATGCTAGGTCAAGGTCGACCGGGACATCTATGAGAACGTGTGTAGCTTCTGGAAACCTTCTGGAACCTTCTGGAAGCGTTCTAGATCTAGGTTGCACTTGATACTCTTCTAGAACGTAGGAGGGCTTCCAGAATCATTCTGGAAGCACTCTAGATTTTTCGTGTGATTGGCTTATTTATCCGGTATTCGACGAGAGTGGTGCAGCCCTAAGCTCGCCACCCCTCTCACTCCTCTTTAGTACCAGCAACATCAATCTGACTCGGGAGTCAACAACTAATAAGAACATGTTCATATTTCCATTCCAAGTCTCTCGCGGTTGAAGTCACACAGAGTGTGAACCTCTGAGGTAGGCTACACAGCCTCCTGGCATCTGCAGCATCGTATTGCTGCTCGTGCGCAGCGAAATTACGCTGACAGGTTATGAGCCTCGAATAACGCACACACTACGAGCTGCGAGCATCACGGGAAGATCAAGGCAACCTCTTCTTGGGACGTCAGCCTTCATCCGTGGACAATGAGAGAACGTGGTTTCGGAGATTTCTGGAGAATGCGACGCTGTCATCGGTCAACGGCACCACAAGCAAAGCGCAAACTTGGTCATCTACACCAAGGTGCTGAGAGTTCACGTCGTATACACACGTTACCACTGCTGCGGCAGCAGTGGGTACCTATGTGGTGAACTAGCAGCAAGGGTCAAGTGCGCGGGAGTCTCGAGCAACACACGCATCGGGTGTATATGGAAATACACTGCATCATCAGTGGAGGCGAGCAGCAACCGGAGTCCTCTATATCAGTAGCAGGAGCGGGATCGGAAACAAAAAAACCACAACCGGAGTGCTCTAAAATAGTAGCAGGAACAGGGTGGGGAAGTCTCGGGTACAGGGAGTAGTACCACGAGCAAACTACTCCTGCAGCAGGAAGTACTTTCATCAAGACGAAAAAAATAATGCCGAAACGAGCAATGGATACCGCAACGAGCAACACAGGAGGTGGGAGTGCATCCGCCAGCGATAGTTGTACAATACTGGCAACCGTGATCAAGACCTCAAGAAATTCGACGGAAAGGACTCAGCTGAGTTCAAGACATTGATGAAATTCTGCGTGGTGTTAGGCGTGACCAGGAAGGACATCCTGCTACTACTGAAGAAACAAAGGAAGCCAGATCCCGCAGACACAGCGGCCTTCGACCCCTACACAAGGGCCAACGAAGATCTCTACGCCATTCTTTTCCTCCTAGTGGAATTTCCAGTCGCCTCGTCGGTGCAGAAGCACGAAGACGACACTGGCATCAGAGGCGACGGACAAGCTGCCTTCGATGACCTCTACAACAACTATGACAGGGTAACGGACGAGGTCATCAGGGCCAAGATGGAGGAGCTGGAGAACAACCTCATGAACCCTGGTGAAAATCCCGACGACTGCTTCAACCAGAAGCACCTTTTTCGCGCCCAGCTGGATAAGATGGGAGAAACCACCTCCGACCGCCGCTTCAAGGACATCCCGGTACAGGGCTTCTCCGACGAATATAAGGACATTAAACTGATGGTGTTCAGAGACCCAACCTTCAACGTCCTGGACATACAATCCACCATGCGCAACATCTTCTTGGACGAACAATCGCGCAAGGGATGGAAGGGACGCATAGCTGGTCGAGGATTTGCCATGGCAACGACCGCGTCTGACATCATCTGCCACAGCTGCTACGAGCCCGGGCACATCAGGAGGAGCTACGCCAAGATCAAGAACAGGGCGATGAAGAAAACAAAGCCTGCCGGAGCTACCGAGTGGTGCTCCAAGCACAACACTACGTCTCACTCGGCCGAGACATGCTACCAACAAGGAGGAAAGCGTCCGGAAGACACCAAGGACTCAAGAAAAGCATTCACCGCGTGCTCCGGCGGCACTCACTGCTCGTCGGCGTCCAACAAGAACGACTCAAACAATGAAGTGGCAGTTGTCGACTTCACCCGGGATGAGGACACCTTCGACAGCGGCTTCATGTTCGGTACGTGTTCCCGCATCTCAGGACGCAACTTCGCCGCGAGCTCCACCGGGGTAGGACTGCTGTTAGACACGGGAGCATCGGAGGCCATGTTTGACAATCGCCTCATCCCCAACGGAAACCTCCACGATTACACCCAGCGAAACTCTCCATAGATCGTCGACGTGGCCGGAAAAAGTTAACTCACAGGCACGGCCACGGGCATCCTACACTGTACCCTCAAGGACAATCGAGGACAGCAATTGCGCGTGCGGATTCAGGGACTAATCGTTCCGGGGCTTGGTCGCAACACTTTTTCGCCCACCTCCCTCCTGAAAAAGGGATTGCGCTGCGTGGTCGAAGAGAGCACTCCGCACCTCACTATTCAAAGCAAGGTGATTCCACTCACACAAGATCCGCGAGACCAAGGCATGTGCATCCTCGACATCACGTTCGAGCAGAACGTCCAGCCATCTGTCACGAGATCCCTCATGCCCCACCAGAAGCAGTCACAGACCCACACGGCGAACGCCGTCTGCTTGACGCTTGTGAGCGCGGACACCTGGTAANAAGCAAGGTGATTCCACTCACACAAGATCCGCGAGACCAAGGCATGTGCATCCTCGACATCACGTTCGAGCAGAACGTCCAGCCATCTGTCACGAGATCCCTCATGCCCCACCAGAAGCAGTCACAGACCCACACGGCGAACGCCGTCTGCTTGACGCTTGTGAGCGCGGACACCTGGTAAAGGAGGCTTGGACATCTCAATGCTCGGAGCCTGGACATCCTTCGGAAGGACACGGGTACCGAGGTGGACTATCGCGACAGTCTCTACCCTTGCGGGGTCTGCCAGATCGCGAAACACAAGTAGTCTCCCCACCCGAAGCAATCAACTCGCGAACTATCACGGCCTGGACAACTTGTGGTCATCGACAACGTGTTGTTGTTGTTGTTGTCTTCACATTAAAAACCATCCCGGTCTCTCTATCCAGTACCTCCTTCTGTCTCAATCTCTCCGTACTAATCCAGCACTTGACTCGGTCAATTTCCGTGGTCACAGGCTAACGTACCTAGAAAAGGTATACCAAAATAAAATGGACCCCAAGGGTTAGCAAAGCGATAAAGTACAAGAAAACAAAAGAATCAGAAACAAATAAATAAATAAAAAGTGGAACGTGCGCACCACCAGCCTGGGGGGTAGCCTTCCGGAAGGACCCCAAGGGTCAACAGTACGTGCCAGTAAAAAAACAAAACAAAAACGAAATAAACCAAAGACAGACGAGGACATAAACAAACTCGCACAGAGACAGGGATATCCGTAGAGACAGTTTGAACGCGACAGCAAACGGGGGAGAGGGCAACAGAAAAACTAGTCGCTGAAATTCAACCGCAACATGTCACGTCACACGGTCGGTCTCTTCTCGCTTGCTTTCTTCCCGCGCCGTTTCCTCCCGCCCCCCTCCCGCCCCGTTGATTGCCATGGGGCCTGTTAATGCACCTGCGAAATATAAGGAGGCTACTTCCCGTACGCGTGCAAGATCACCGACGACTACACGAAAGTGAAAGAAGTGTACCTGCGAAGATCTCCGCGACGGGGACGCCCCATCACCGCACCTTTCATCGACGCCAGCTGGACCATCATCCGAAACCGACGCATCTAGCCCCAGCCCGTCATCTTCGAACCCCTCTGAACCGGACAGCATCAACTGGATCCTTCGGCATGCGGCGCCTGCAAGTCACCAGAGCTAGCACACGCGGAACGCCCACCAGCGACAATCAGATCGACGTTAACTTGGTTCCTGCCGATCTGGAAGTCACCATGAACGACCGCGGTCGAGCCCATGCTGCAACGGGCCGCGTGGAGCCATCCGGTCTTTCCTTCACTCAGCTGGCTGAGATAGCCGATCAAGCCCAGCTCCCATACCCTGGCGATACTGAGGATCTCGCCCACGTGGCGGAAGACCCCTTCACGGTGCCGCGTGCCCACGCCTACGTCACGACCACTCACGACCACCACGGGATCTTGGAGGAGACGAATCAAGCGATCGAAATCCCCAACACCTACGACGAAGCCATGAGCTCTCCCCAGCGCAAAGAATGGAAAGGAGCGTGCAGCGAGGAAATGAACAATCTGGTGCCCCTCAGTAGCGTTTCCAAGGGGGAGAAGATCCTCGCAACGAAATTCGTCTTAAAAAATATAGCTGGACGGACGTATCAAAGCTCGTCTGGTAGTTGGAGGACATCGTCAATAGCCAGGACAGGACTACGGACGCAGCTACGCCCCAGTATGACGTGTGCCATTGGCTGCCACAACAACTGGCCCATCTACCAACTGGATGTTGTCGGTGCCTTCCTAAACGCCCTCTGCGACAGAGACGTGTACGTCAGGCCCGCCCCCGGTACATCCGCCAAGAACTCCGTGACAGGAGAACTCATGGTGTACAAATTAGAACGGAGCCTCACGGCCTATTGCAGTCGCCGGCGCTCTGGAACGACACCCTGGACGAGTCTCTCACGGTGTTCGGATGGAAAAGGACTCAATCCGACCCCTGCGTGTACGTGTATACCAGCGGCAACGTCATCGTGATTCTCACGGTCCACGTAGACGACATTCTCATCACGGGAGGAGACCAGCGGCTCGTGGTCCAGAAGAAGCAGGAGCACAAGGAACTAATTTTCGATACGATGCCAACGGAGGGGTCGAGGTAGAAATGGATATGGTGATGTGGTTGACCATTGTGAATTAGTTGTTTGGTCGAGGGGTCGTGTCAGCAAAAATCGTGCGTCGAGACCACCAGTAGTCGGACACGGTTTGACCTTTGAATACGATTGCAGCAACTTGTCTGGGTAGCAGTAGAAAATAATGTATCTCTCCGTGGCATGTGTTCTCTTGTTCTAGAAATATTTCGGAAGCCTGCTAGGTCAAGGTCGACCGGGACATCTACGTAGAACGTGTGTAGCTTCTGGAAACCTTCTGGAACCTTCTGGAACCTTTTGGAACCTTCTGGAACCTTTTGGAACCTTCTGGAACCTTCTGGAACCTTCTGGAAGCGTTCTAGATCTAGGCTGCACTTGATTCTCTTCTAGAACGTAGGAGGGCTTCCAGAATCATTCTGGAAGCACTCTAGATTTTTCGTGTGATTGGCTTATTTATCCGGCATTCGACGAGAGTGGTGCAGTCCTAAGCTCACCACCCCTCTCACTCCTCTTCAGTACCAGCAACATCAATCTGACTCGGGAGTCAGCAGTTAATAAGGACATGTTCATATTTCCATTCCAAGTCTCTCGCGGTTGAAGCCGCACAGAGTGTGAACCTCTAAGGTAAGCTACACAGCCTCCTGGCATCTGCAGCATCGTACTGCTGCTAGTGCACAGCGAAATTACGCTGACAAAGGGCTCAGCCATTCCTGTTCCTCGTCGAACGCGAATTAGAACAACCTCACGATATGTTCGTTTCCCGCTGCAGACTGCAAAGTTTGTTTCCACTCAAGAGGGCGAATGACACTCCAACCTGCTGCTGCTAAAATTGTGTACTAGGTAGGATAATAGCACGCGTGTCGAACTGGTAGACACTGTGTTAGTCAAAACCATAGAGCTTTCAACGCAGTCCCCTTGACTAGCTTTGCATTGGTAGTGGTTTGAGTGCTTCACCGAACCATGCCCTCAGAACGGGGGACCTGGGCTCTGCAGACCTGAACGGAACTGCACGGCACCGTCCTCGCGAACGATCCTTGATGAGAGCAGAATCCTCATCCTTACGACCGTCTTGCAGGAACGACGAGCCGCCACCGAGAGATGGCGATATGGATTCACTTGCCAGTACACTACGATGCTAGCCACCATTGACATGAGCGATACCACCACGTAGCCTGAGACGAGTGCTCGTTTTGACACAAAGCTGGCATTGCCGAATGCGTCTCTGGGAGCGAAACCGACATCGCAGGAGCGAGCATTGACGGCTAGGTCGGCGGAAGACTCAGTGAGACGGACTTCACCTCCACCCCAGAGTGGATGTCTGCATTGGTGCATACATCCGCCGTCGTTGTACGAATAACTCATACGGTAGACCACAGGAGGTTACCGCTGTAGACTACAGTAGTAGTAGATTACTGCAGGGGACAAATACACACTACATGTATACCTACCTACTACGTAGATACCCTTTTTTTTTTCAGACAACAGCTGTGAGATCTATTACCCGTTCGAAATATTCCACCACAGCTGTCAAAGTGGTGAAATGTCGAAGTCCACGACCTCGGTCAAGATCATGAATGTACGCTAATTTAGTGAGCTGCGGAGCGAGAAGCGCGACCGTTTTGATCCCTTCGTCCGAGGAGGGAAAAAGCAGGCTTTATCTACCAGCCCAGTAAAACGACCGCCTGGATTTTGCATCCTTTCCGACCAGCACGAGGTCTATAGAGCACCGATTGACGATCTGCTGGCTTACAAGGAACAAGAAAAATAGTGCACTCTTCACCACACCGGTTTCGTTGTGCTCCAACAGCAGATGGGTGTGCTTTATCGGCATTTATACTAAAAAACCATAGGAGATACTCACCCCGATCCCCGCGGAGTTGTAGAGCAATACGCGCCAAGGCATCGTACATGTAGATCTCCCACACACACCACGCAGTTGGAACAGAGCACTCAGCCAAACACGCACCACCACTAGGAGGGGCAAGACAGCACTGGCCGGGGAAGGGAGCTATACAAGCAGCTCGTGGCGGATGCCGCTGCTTCGGTGTGTGGGGAGGGGTCACCTGGAACAAACCAGTGCCTGCCACGGGAAAAAAGGTCTTCTTCAGGCGGCGGCGGGTGTCTTTGCATGAATACTTGCATTTTGCCGACTCTCGCCACCTCAGTTTCCGTGAGTTGTATGACCCCGATCTCCCACACTATTTCACAAATGTGTACCGCTTCCATGGAAGTATGTATCGGCCATGGAGCTAATGCCTGTTACATGGAAGCTACACGTTTCGGAAGCGCGTAACGACACTTGCGGAAGCGATATTCACTTCCATGGAACTAAAGATATGAAATATGGATGTGCCACTTCCATGGAAGTTTATTTCCACGGAAGTCCCATGGAAACCCCATGGAAGTGGAATAGCTTCCATGGAATTCGAACTTTAGGCTTCCATGGAAGCTATTCAAAACAGATTTACTGCAGCTTCCATGGAAGTATTCGGCCTCGGGTTAGCTTCCACGGTCTCCTCGGGGTTAGGGTTAGGGTTAGGGTAAGGAAGCTGGAATGACTACATGTCTAGACGCTTCGGTGGAAGTTTCTTTCATGGAATTTTCGGTGCTCCCACGGAACCCAGTTTCGACCTCCGTCACTCCGTCACCCACCTCCATGGAAGTTGATTTCATGGGATTTGAAGCCATCTAACCTCCATGGAAATCAATTTCGACTTCTTTGGAAGCTTATTCCATTTGTCCTATGGCCTCGTGTCCTCTACTACTGTATAGCCGCCACACAAGACGTTGCATACACACAGCTCGCACAACTCGCGGGCACAGCTTGCGGGCACAGCTCGCGGGGAATAGCTTAACAGTTGCTGCGCGTCACTCTGTAACGAGAAACCACCGAATACCGAAATCGGTGGGGGGGCGTATGTATGAAGTCTACTGTAGGTGCCGTAAGATACCACACCCCCTGTACCGATTTTGAAAGCTCGAGTACTCCACGTCGAAGTGGGTGCGTATATACCCAGCAAGACGTTGTCGGAAAGCTCTCGACGAGACGGCTCCCACATCAACATTATCGGTACCGCCACTCTTGGTGGTGCGGAGCAGCCAAGCTTTGAAATTGGTCCAGGGTGTGTGGTATTTTCACCTACTGCTGTAATATGCCCATGTGTGTCCACACATGCTAAACGAAGGGCCACTCCAGGAGCCTCTTTTTTGGGAAATGGACACAAGTGGGTATACCCACCCCTTTCTCGGAAAAAAGTGGGTGCTCGAAAATCCAGCGCGCGCGCACTCCAAAGCCGGCCCCCAAACGACTCAAAACCCCATTCTGACACCTGCGCGACACAGCCAGGGACCAAACACAGCACGGGCATCGACTTTTCCCCACGTTCAGGCACACCTTTGGCTCTAATACCGCCGAGGTGCGCAGGGCCTCACCAGAGTGCCCACTTCTGATTCTGTCTGACATCGCGGTGGGTATACCCACCGGCGTCAACTATTTTTTTCATGTACCCACTTATGTCTATATTTTGACCCACTTTGGTCCAAATTGTACCCACATTTGTCCACTTACGGACGGCGGAAATCGAGCGGAAATCGACCTCCTCGTCACCGCACGGCAGAACATCGAATAGCCTCGGAACGTCTCAGAATCTCCCAACACGGTATCCGTGGCATCTTTCGTATCCATCACTGCCGACTGCGGACCGACCGCGGAGGAACATGTCAGATACATGCCACGTCCCTTCGGTACCGGCACGAGAGGATACCAGGCACGGGAAGATGCCCGCGGCAAGCCCGGCAAGCAGAGTACTAGCGGCAAACGCCACAAATAAATGCGTGACACACAACGGTCAACAAAACCAACGAGCGCGCATACAGACAGAACAAAAGACGCGCATGCAGCAACAACACAGGCTATTCGATGTTCTGCCGTGCGGTGACGTGGAGGTCGATTTCCACTTGAATTCCGCCGTCCGTAAGTGGACAAATGTGGGTACAATTTGGACCAAAGTGGGTCAAAATACAGACATAAGTGGGTACATGAAAAATTAGTTGACGCCGGTGGGGATCCCCACCGCAATGTCGGACAGAAGTGGGCACTCTGGTGAGGCCCTGCGCGCCTCGGCGGTATTAGGGCTAAAGGTGCGCCTGAAAGTGGGGAAATATCGATGCCCGTGCTGTGCATGGTCCCTGGCTGTGTCGCGCAGGTGTCAGAATGGGGTGTTGAGTCGTTTGGGGGGCCGCCTACGGAGTGTTGTGTGTGTTTTCGAAGTATTTATTTTGGCGACAGTCCCCCCATTTTTCGTGGTGAGACGTGTACTACACTTTTGGAGTGCGCGCGTGCTGGATTTTCGAGTACCCACTTTTGTCCGAGAAAGGGGTGAGTATACCCACTTGTGTCTATTTCCCTTTTTTGTTTTGTTGATCATCGACTGCCACCCGCCACCGCACAATAGCATCGCAGATAGACTACTGTTGGCCAGGGCCGGGATTCCCGCGAAGCTGATCTTAGTCATCCGCCAATTCCACGATGGAATGCGGGCCCGGGTGCGCATGGACGACGGAGAACTATCGGACTGGTTCTTCGTGACACAGGCCGTGCGACAAGGATGTGTGCTATCCCCACTGCTGTTCAACATCTTCTTCGCCGAGGTCCTCGAGGTCTTCGTCATCCGATTCAGCGAGGATGATGTTGTTCTCCGGAGCCTGGTGTGCGTGGAAGAGGGGAACACGGAAGCGGGGGGGGGGAAGGAGACACCCCTTGACCGAGTACGGAGGGCATGGGGGATGCTGTATGCCGATGATACCGGCGTCGTATCGAGGTCTGCAGAAGAACTGGCGAGAATGATGACCATCATCGTTGAGGTGTTTGGGGAGTTCGGGCTAACGGTGTCGGAGAAGAAGACGGAGACGCTCCTGATGCGCGCAAAGGACAAGCCGACTACAACATCACAGCCCGCCCCGCCTCCACCACTGACCATCGAAGCCGCGGGACAGAAATACGCCCAGACGGCCGAGTTCCGGTACCTCGGTGGCCTCGTCAACGAACATGGCGACCTCACCCGGGAGATCAACTACAGGAGCAGAGGAGCGTGGGCGTGCCTCAGGCGATATGGCCGGGAGCTCTTCGACAGACCGTAATCGCCATTCCGACTCAAGATCCGCCTGCTCCAGGCGGAGGCGATGGAGGCAATGCTGTACGGTTGCATGACATGGTCACCACTCAGCGGCCACTATCAGACGCTGCGGTCGATACACCACCGACTTCTCCTTCGAGCTATCGGGTACAAGCGCAAGAAAGACACCTACCGGCAGCTCTCTTAGGCCCAGACGCTGAAGAGGGTCGAATGCCAGAGCGTTGAAGCCACGATCCGACAACGACGCCTACTGTTCGCGGGAGCATTGGCAAGGCAGCCGGACGGGCGACTCCCGAAACGACTGATGATCGGCGAACTGGCAGGGGGGGAGAAGCGACGTAGGGGGGGACAGGAACAGAACTGGCCGAACTGTGTGCTCGACGACCTAAAGGGATTCGGGGCCGACCACGGATCTACGAAAACCGATCCATATTGTTTCGGAATCCCGGTACCGAAAAGCAAGGCACCGACGTTAAAGTGGACGGAAGCCGCGAAGGTAGAGGGGGGAGTACCCTGGCATGCGGCGGTGCTGCAGGGAGCTGAGAGGTTCATGACCTCCTGGCACGAGAAGGAAGAAGAGGCCAGCCGACAACGGGCGCTCAAACGAAGCCACAAGCCACCAAGCAATGGGGCGGGAGGGGGGCAGGAGA